TACGGGGGCGTTTTTGTTTGTTGTTTGCGTTTCTGGGGTAGAGGAAATCTCTAATTGAAAGACTGCTTTTTTGCAAAGGGGAAAGATGGCGGAAATCAACTTTTTGCTCTTGTTTGAAGTTTCAAAATGAGCGAAATTGGATAGGAGATGACTATTCTTATTGTTTTTACGTCTCTAGAGGGGTTTCAGGGGTCTATCTTCTTGGTGTTACTGTCTACAGTTCGAAAGACTGTTGGATAAAAGAGTGGAAAGTAGAAAGCCAGTTTGCTGGGTAAGAAGACTTGATATCTTCAGTAATGTGTTGCAAAATTGCGATTTCACCAATGAGTAGTCACTCCTGATGTTTCTTGATAATGGACAATATCAAAATCTAGAATACGGTTGCTCTCTCCTGTATAACAATCTCATTCAATGCTTCTCGCATAGTCATACTCATACATTTAATTGTTCATCTTTTTTCAAATGTTACGGTGCTAATTTTTCAACAGTGAACCTCAGACTTATATGTATGTACCCCATGACAAAGCATCTTTTGTATTTCACTATACTAGGGGCTAAAGTATCTCTCCGTTATTTTTTCTCTCTAATCCCACCATAGGTTCGGCCAAATGCGTAATGCTCTAGGAATAGACAAGTCTATCGACATCCTCGACCACATCTATTCTCTCCCTGTATCCGAGCAGGAAGCGGCACACGAAAAAATCCGAGCCATAGAACGGGAAGCAATGCTAACCCAAGTTCCCCAACCCGGTATTTCTCCACCCCTCTCCTCCTAATCCTTCCACAATCTCCCTAAGTACTAACCAACCCCCAATCCCAGGCCTCCAAACCCTCTTCACCTACCTCTCCACCCTCACTCCCACCCTCCCCCTCGCAATCCTCACCCGCAACCATCCGCCCCCCGTCCACCACCTCCTCACAACCCACCTCCCCCAAACCCCCTTCTCCCCCATCATCACCCGCGAATTCCGACCTCCAAAGCCCCATCCCGCTGGAATTCTCCACATCGCAAAAGAATGGAATGTGGATCCCAAAGATACGATCATGGTGGGCGATTCGATCGATGATATGAAAGCTGGGTTTGCAGCGGGAGCGGCAACGGTTTTGTTGGGGAATAGTGTTAATGAGGAGTTGTGGGAACATGAGTGTACCGATTTAGTGGTGAAGAGGTTAGATGAGTTAGTGGAGGTGTTGAAGGGGGGTTTTGTGGGCAGGGTGGAGCGGTAGATGATTTTGCTTCAAAAATAGTATGGGTGTTGGAATAAGAGTGAGATTTTACATAAGTATCAGTATGGTAGACTTAGACTGGACATTCCACTCGAAATACATAGAAAAATTTTATGTTGTCTCTTGCTTTTGTTCAAACATGCAAATGAATTAATTCGAAGGGATTTTTGCTTCTTCAAATTCATATATATATATATACGATATATGCCAAGGTATCCTAGAACGTAAAATAAAAACTCCCAAAACTCGAAGTTCCACTCTGCATCAACCACTCCCTTATACTAAACATTTCATCCCCTAAATACATCACCCATCCTCATTCCCTCCTAATTCTCACCTCTACTCATAAGCCCCACTCCCCTTCTCATCCGCAGCCAACGCGGTCAAATTCGCATTCCCCGTCTTAATCAGAGTTTTCTCCTTGGGAATCACATCCACAACCTCCTCACTCAACCCCAACGTGTCCATCACCACCTGTTTCGGCGTCAACGCTAACCATTGCGCTACACTAATGTCGCTAAAGACAGGTTGCTGCAATACTTCTAAAAACACTACATCTTCCGTTCCCGTGTTTTCAATATAGTGACTATTACTCGCGGGGATGTATCCCACATCTCCAGCCGTGTAATCGAAAGTTCGAGAGCTACTGGGTGCGGCATAGATAGTGATGCGTGCGGAGCCGGAGAGGAAGTAATTCCACTCGTCGGATGTGAGATGCCAGTGCATTTCGCGCATGGCGCCGGGTTGGATGGTGACGAGGGCGGCGGCGAAGTTGGAGGCGATGGGGAAGGTGGTCGTGTCGATTATTTTTACGGAACCGCCAGGGACGGTGTAAGGGGCTTGTTGTGAGAAGTGGTAGGTGTAGGAATCTTTTTGGGGGAGGGGGCCGGCGGCGCTGGTTTGGTTTTGAGTGGAGATGTTGGCGGGAGCGGGGGTGCCGTTGAAGATGTATAGTTGATCTGAAGGGAGATTGTCAAAGGAGGAGACCGGGGTTTGGAAGTTTTTGGAAAGCACAGATTTGGGGTTCCGGAGAAACATTTCGGAGACGAGGACTAGATTGGGGGTTAGTTATTGCTATTTTATAAGTGCTCATGTGCATCTAAAGACTTGAGACGGTTTCAAATGGAAGTTTAAACCCCTCCAGATTGGCTCGGACATCGAAGAATGTAACCTGGGGAAGAAATGATTATACTTACAAGTGCCATCTTCCGAAAAGTCTCCCTCGTCGAAAATCAACAGGAATTCACAGCCCTCATCCAGCGCTTGAATGGAATGTGGAACCCCAGCTGGAAAGAACCATACGTCCCCTGCGCTGATATCGTCGATGAAGCTTTCACCCTTATCATTGACAGCAGATAATCTTACGCTTCCTTTCAGCACCAACGACCACTCATTTGCTGTATGCCAATGCAACTCTCGATATGCCCCTGGTGCGAGACGCATATCAACACCGGCCATTTCAGTCGCGGAAGGGAGTTGACCTGTGTTTTGCTGTCTTGCCCATCCTGATTTCTTACCACTACCTAATCTGTTACGAGATAAACTCATTGGCCATTGAGCTTGTGGTACATCACCACTATCTGTTCCTGGTGGAGCAAAAAGATCAGGATTCAACTTCTGGTATTCGTATGTTTCTACGATAATGTTAGATTCACGTTAATCTTATGATGCTTCTTTCAACTCACGTGGTCCAGGGTCTGTTTGGCCTGTTGAGCCTCGAATAGGTTGTGCATTTGGAACGCTATTGAAATCCAAATATAAACCTAGGTCTGCATCTGCTTCCTGACCATTGACCATTGGTGCGCTCGAAACAATGGCAGAATCTCCTCCTGACACGGGAGATGGTTTTGCAGCTTCGCCTAGTAATGATCCATCGCCATAAAGTGATCCGGTGGCGGCAGTAACTGTAGGTACTGGTGCTGATACACCAGCGACAGCTACTGACTGTTCGCCATAGCTCATCTGAGGTTTAGGTGCAGGAGCTGAAAGAACTACTGAAAGAAGTCCAGTCGCCACAAATGGACTGAGCAGGCGAGTTATTGAATGCATTGTGAACGGATGTTTTATTGTCCTCTGTGTGCTCAGACTCAGAGTGAAGATGAAGAGATATTCTCTGTACTTATATACTTCTTAAAAATAATAATGATATCAACCTCGTCATATAAGTATGCTACAAATATCTACCAACATGAGCCATTGCCAAATTGTCAGCAACATTATAGGTAACTAGTTCGCAAGATGCATGGGAACGGTAGCATCTACACCAGTCAACTTCCGAAATCCCGATGAGGAGACCTGCAGAGAAGCGATTCGTATGCACTCAAAGTACACATGAATATTGACTAGTCAATCAATGGCGTTGAGACGTGGACATATTTACCCGTCTCTAGTGTGTCCATCATGAAAATGCGCCGATCACCTTGGCAGCACCAAGAAAGTATGACAGTACATAAATGATAAATCTCGAGAAGTTTTCACGTGAAATCCCTAAGGAATTGGGAAATCTTCAGAAGGTTCATCTGCCGAACCGCCACTAGACGCTGTAGATTGCCGGTTAATCTCTTAGTTCTGGTAGTAATGAATCATGATCGCATATATCTAGCTTCTCTCGAGCTTCTGTCCAAACACCCGACTAGAAGAACGCTTGCTCGACTGTTCCCCACGAATACCGCAGGGGTTACTCAGACTAAGAAAGTTAAGCTTTCAGTGCCGGGCTACCGCAGTGCCGATCAGTAGAATTCATGACACTTGAAGCATGAAGACCAAAACGATGAAGATCATCACTCGGGGATATTCCGTTAATGTCGGGATGATGAAGAAATGTTGTGTATACACTATATACGATATATGCGAGATGCAGTATGCCTCGCTGACCTCAATACCTTCCTACAATGGTAACGGCTTCGTAATGAGTATCCCGCGAACACAACGACCAGGATCAGTGCAGGTACGAAAGCGTAAAGAGAAGCAATCTGATTACGCTGCTTAGAAAACGTGGAGAGTAATCGCCTGCAGGACTTGGCATCCTTGAGTCGGGTTGTTGGTTTCACGAGCTTTGATTATGATTAGAAAGAGTTCTTGGAAGAAGCAACGAAACTACGCGGAGTACCAAATGGCGAACTACTTACTGGGCTCCCGATGTAAAGGTCATTCACTCCAAAGTTACCTCCAAGATCTATCAGTGGTGCCAATATTCATTGTAACCGAGGGAGGATTACGCGTAACGAAGAGATTGCTATAAGTATGCTTTGAACCTATTCGTTAAGAAATTTATGATTGAAAGAAACATGGTGTAACTGATAGGAGAGTTGTTGAAGAAATTCGCGTATCATGCCAAGGATTCATCCACCTGATCAACGTGCCCATCAATTTTATGCATGCACGATGCACAATGCTGGGATAACCTCATATTTACCCGTTTGGACAAACAACGTAATTCATGTTATGACGACTACATTTGTTCTCGGACAATCGAATCGCAACAAACTGAACTTTGTACCACAACAACTACAAGATCACTCCTCAAATGTATTATGACGATTCAATGCAAGATGAGTCCGAAATCCCAAGCTTCTTCCGAGCTTCAAGGTCTGACATTCCGAGATCTTTTTCTGACAGAATTCTTATTGTGTTAGAATCCACAAAACTATTGTATGAACTTGGGGGTATCTTATAATTCAATCCAACTCCAGTGGCCGAAATGAACCAGGCCCCTCCCAATAACTCCACACACCATTATAAATTCATCAATATACTTGGGACTTCCTCTAAAACTAGTCCAATACACTTCTAACCTCCTCTTCATAATTGGCAGCTTCGTCGAGTACTGGTGCAATACTAGGGTTTTCACGTCCCCTCCAATTCTTACGTCCCTGCAAATCTTTCGATCCGTCTGGCTTGCCATTCTTCCTTCTCTCTACTTTGCGAATGGCATCTTCTAAGCCCCTAAATTCAATCGTATTAGTCCGCTGTTTTCATAATCCAAATCTACCTACCTGGGTCCCGATGCCTTGGTGACGTAGCCTTGTCTTTCTAGCTCATCTGCCAACTCTACTTGATGATTGTCGAGAAGTGAAGTATTGGGCACTACGATGAGGGGTACATCAATTCGGAGTGCATCCAGGATTGTTCCCGAACCTATAGCATCTCAACATCAGTCACTTTCTCAATGTAACGTAGTCGTTTGAGAATCTACCGACCTGCATGTGAAATCACTACACCTTCTGAACTCTCCCCTGTGCCATAAAATCCCCCCCTCTTACATTGTCGCATTTCGTGCCCTAAACCATTACGGTCAAAATCGAACACTTCGATCTCGAGTCCAGATCCCTTCTCCACTGGTATGTTGTTTTTCCAGTATTCGGCATCGGGCCCAGCTTGTACCCTTAGTTTCGTGTATCCTTCCTGAGCTAGTGCCTGTAAAGTGTGTAATGCGAACACTTCTTCGATGAGCTCTTTAAAAGTCGCAGTCGCGCCGACTGTAACGAAAGCAACCTTTGGCGGTGTGCCTCCTGCAGCTAAGTCCATGACTGGATGATGGGAATAACAATGAGCTAATTATTGAGCTCCCTGTTAAGTCTGGATTTCCACCAGTACAATTAAAAGTAGTTTATTGGATCTTGGACATCTCTGTTCTTATAATCATGACTCCCGGATTAATTGATTGATCTGCTTCGGTGCTTGCAGATTATCCGAAGTACGATCTAGGTGGGATGATAAAACACTAGTCCCTGATAGGTTAGGTCCAAATTGTTTATTTCGGGACGATTTCCATCTGGAGATTCAACATTCAGAAGAAACATCCATAATCACCACAATGGCCACGGCCTTACAAAGTCTGCGTATGACAGCGCGATGCTGCTCATGCAGAAACATTACCTCCAGATACACCAATAAGTCAATCGCCCAACGGAGGTTATTTTCAATCACATCAAGACAATATAAAATCGATCCGAAATTTAAGGAACTCCAGGAAACCGAACCAGACGAGGATGAATTCATGGAAGAGATTGACGAATTGTTCGAGAATGCGGGTGCTCGACATGCAAATAATCTACCATCATATGGATTTGACGAGGGTGTGAAGAAGAAGTTGAAGCCTACCTTTCTAAATATGGGAGATCCAGAACCGTTTGACGAGGACGACAGAGAGGATGACCACGATGATATCACGACTTTGGCGCATATGGAATTGGAACAGGTTCGAGAAATTAGACATTATAATAGGTTAGCAGCTTGGGAAATGCCAATGTTGAGCAGTGAGTTCATTTCGCATTTACATGGAGGGACAAACCCAGAACATCGCTTTTTTCTAACTGGTGATATACAGAATTGGCAAAACCATTCGTACCGCCTTCAGCTGAAACTCCCTTACGATTCAGATATACTTCGTACATGGGCGAACAACATCCAGCAGAAAAGAAAGTTGTTATGGAATTTTGTCCCGCAGATATGCCAGGACTAACAGAAGTCCAAACGGATAAACTCAGAAAATTGGTTGGACCAAGACTCAACCCAGAAACGGATATTGTTAAAATGAGTTGTGAAATGTACCCATCACAGGCCCAAAACAAGAGATATCTTGGTGATATGGTTGATTCATTATTGGCAGAAGCAAAGGTATGTGATATCATGTTGTTGAGATACTCATGAACTAATATAAACAGACTGGCGATACTTTCGAAGATATTCCGTTAGATACACGCCATCACGTTTTCAAAGTGAAGCCGAGATTCCCTGTAGAATGGAGATTAACAAAAGAGAGGAAGCAAGAACTTGCAGACTATCGCCAAAAGATGGTGGAGACAGACTTGAATCGAGAACACATTGGTCAACTTGTGGATGGAGTTGAAACAATTCGACACCGATTGGCTAATCCAATAGCTAAGGAACCGGTTCCTGAAACAGTTGCAGCTGGCGGAAGGATAATTGGGAACAAGAAGGTTGGTGTCAAGAGGATAGTATAAAAGTTACTGCAAAATATGTAAGATATCGTATGTACAAGTTAAGCCATCTAAATTGGAGGAGCTACGATAGTTGGTTGACATGTAGGGGGCAAAGCAAGTGATACCAACGGTTTGATAGCCTATTGTAGGCGTCGTCCGTACGTCGGGTCGAACAAGTTGTATTTCCGACTCGGAGCAAATCTAAAATATTAAAATGTGAAATATACGGCATGTACGGAATTGGACTGTTTTCCGAGTTGCATGGCACATGTGAAATTGTAAATATACTTGTAAGACATTATATTGCCCCGACCCCGCTGATCTTTACGGCCGGATAAGGCAACCTGCCTCGGTTTATTAGATTACTAAACGAATGGATGGACAGGAATAACAAGAGCTTCGATCTCTAACAATTAGCCAGTTGGTCGACTTGCTTCTATTTTATAATTGCTCTCCATACCTTTGAGATCAACCAGATAACTGGATTATTATTGAACACTCTCATTCTTCATCAGTTTTTGTAATCACGTCGACTATAAAAATACTCTCGCGGGGTTCTTGGTCACAAAAGAAACAATGTCGTCAATTAAGATAGCTCCATTCGAGCCTAGCTCTCTCGAATCTATTCCCTCCACAGTGAAGCTCCTACGAACTACCTTTCGCTCGCAAAAAACGAAACCACTTGAATACCGTCTGAAGCAACTTCGCAAGCTCTACTGGGCCATTGTCGATAATAGTGATGCTCTTGTCGAAGCAGAGAAGAGCGATCTCGGAAAACCTGCTTTCGAAACTGTTCTTACGGAAACAGAATGGATGAAAAATGATATTGTATTTGTCTGCAAGAACTTAAAGAAATGGATGAAGGACCAAGCTGCTCCAGATATGGCCCTCCAAAATACCTTATTCAGCCCTAGAATTCGAAAGGAACCTTTGGGCACGGCTTTGGTCATCGGTGCATTCAATTTCCCAGTTCAATTGGCTTTGGGTCCATTTGTTGGAGCTATCGCTGCAGGATGTACAGCTGTGTTGAAGCCCTCTGAGCAGTCACCCAAGACAGCCATGATTTTGAAGAAGATTATTGAAGAAAGTCTCGATCCAGAGGCATATACAGTGGTCAATGGAGCTGTTCCCGAGACGACAGCTTTGTTGAACGAGAAATGGGACAAAATCTTCTATACCGGAGGCGAAACAGTGGGAACCATTATTGCAAAGAAGGCTGCAGAAACCTTAACACCAGTTGCTTTAGAACTTGGTGGTAGAAATCCAGCTATCATATCGAAGAACGCGGATCCTAATCTTGCGGCCAGAAGATTATTATGGGGTAAGATTCTTAATGCCGGGCAGGTTTGCATTGGCCAAAACTATGTCATGGTGGAAAAGGAAATCTTAGATGCTTTTATCGAGCAACTTGGAATTGCCTATAAAGAATTCTTTCCTAATGGCGCCAAAGCAAGTCCCGATTATGGCCGAATTGTCAACAACAGACAATTTTTACGAATCAAAAAGATGCTTGATAACACCGGAGGAAAGATCCTGCTTGGCGGGGAATTGGATGAAGCCGAGAATTTCATCGCGCCAACTGTCGTTTTGGTTGATAGTCCGAACGATTCAATGTTGGTGGATGAATCTTTCGGTCCATTGATTCCTATCCTACCAGTTGATAGTCTTGATGAAGCTATCAATATCGCTCATGATATCCACTCAACTCCATTGGGTTTCTATCCATTTGGAACAAAAGAAGAAACTGAGAAGAGTATGTGTAAATTTCACATTGTATTTGGCCCGTTATTTGTGCATCGAAGAGGAGATGATTCCTAGACGATGCTATCTTCTCTAGACCAGTGATTTGGACGACAAATGACATAATATTCGAGCTCCATATACAGATAGTTCTGTGTTTGCAATCGACCTCATTTTTACAAACTCTGTCTATGACAATATCCATGAAGAACAATGTCAAGTGACAGATATTCATAACTACTTTACGCAACCCAACTATCCTTTAAAGTACCTCACTAACATCTCAACCAGTGCTCGGCAGCATTACATCTGGCGGTGCTACTGTCAACGACGCTTTCTTCCACGGCTCAATACAAACTCTTCCATTCGGAGGAGTAGGAACTAGTGGAACTGGCTGTTATAGAGGCGAGCAATCCTTCCTCGCCTTCACCCATCTCCGTTCTGTTGTCACGACCCCCAGCTGGATCGAAAAAATGCTCAATGTTCGCTACCCACCATATACCGATGCCAAGCTTGCCCAATTCCTCAAATCCAGTAGGCAGAAACCAAACTTCGATAGGGAAGGTAATGAAGTTAGAGGATTGAGTTATTGGCTGGGCTTTGTGACAAGTCTTGGTGGTGAGGGAGTTAAGAGTGTGCTTGTCAGGTGGGCAGTTCTCGCTTTCATTACTTATGGATCGAAGAAAGTTTGGGATTTGAAATTTGGTAGTGGGTTGCCTTCTTATCTGAAATGATTTGATTCTCTTTACTTGAGAATCCTGTTTGATTGACTCACGGAGAACGGAACGAGCTGTCATTTTGCTTTACTTTATTTCCTCCTTTTAGCACGTTCGTTTCTGCTCGAGAGCAAGTAGCTTAGCAACTTCAATTTCACATGATTATTTCACACTCAACCACGAACATTTTACTAACCCATCATTGGTGGCCTCAAAGATTGAAAAAGTAATGTGATTTCATCTTCAACGTGAATGTTGCATATCGCAATCTCTTGGAGATTCTTGGTAGTTACATTACTTGTCGGGAAGATGCAGGTAAACAAGACGAGCCAAGGGGCCTTGCGAGAACTGAAAAGGACTAGAGAGTGAAAATTGATGTTTTGTTGCATATCGAAATTTCTTGGGATTTAAGTTTTTTCCTTTGTTTTGCGTGGTGATGGCGTGGTGCCAAGGGGGTTTTATCGCCAAGCTGTGATTTGTCTTTTCTTCTTTGCCTGGCCAGGGCGATTGCGTCTGTGTGTTTGACTCGCGTCAAAGGATTACATAATGTTTTTTTTTATCTATTTCATCAAAATCAGATTGTGTTGTAACATTTCATGTATTTGTAAAATCGATGTTCAATTAGATGAACACCGGGTTAAGTATTTAACAATTTATATGAGGTTATCCATCTATCAGTTTTACCAACACCACCAAAACCAAAATGCAGTGCAACGACACTAACCTGCTGCCAAGAGAAATCGGAACATCAACGCCAAGATCCATCATTGCGCAACGCATGCTTGCAGATTCCGGATGGTTACGGATGCGGACGCGAATATCCGAGTCACACTAATGAAACCGCATTCGTGTCACCGAGTAGAATTTCTCGGACGAGTAGAATAGAGATAGGAGTATTTAAGGAGATATAAGGAATCGGGAGGAATAGGGGATTTGGGAAAGAGGGAAGGTGTTTTGTTGCACGTCGAACGATAAGTGATGGGCTGGGCGAGAATGGATCGTGAGTTTGAGGAGAAGAGATGAGGGTCAGTGTGCTGGGCGGGATTGTGAGGAGGAGTCTTGTTTTGTGGTTTGATGGGGTATTCTGGGATTCCATTAATGGGGCGATGTGTTCGTATCGTTATGGATTTGTTGCTTCGTTCTAGATTTCGATATTTAGGGTGTGTATATGTTGATAACAAATTCTTGATCAGGAAGTCCTGAGAGGAAGTTTTGAATCGAGAAAAAGAGGCGTCGAGTTCAAAAGATGGCATTGGAGATTTGGAAATGCGGGCATCAGAAGCTGACGAGAGACTGTCTTTCAGATGATGTGGTTATTTGAAAAGTTACTATGCAGAGTAGCCATCCTCCAAATCTTGTTCGAAATCATTTCTTGGGAAGAAAGACGCTTGTTCATGTACTCAAGCTGTCTGTTTTGGCGGAAAATTACTAATGATTCCAGTACAGCTATAACTGAGCAAAAGCTTCCAAAGTCTCTCAGCATAGTAAGTTCTTGTGGGATGCAATTTCTCTTCACTTCCTATACGCTTTCTTGTACAAAGCCTTTGAGTAGATGAGAACCCATCGAGTTTGATACCTATGTCGCAGAATCTAGGTTTCTATCAGAGATCGATTGACTCATATCCGAAGACATGAGACGATGCAGGCCATATGCAAGTTTGGATGAAGATGAGAACGTCTCCCACCCTTCTATAGCGTGTTATTAAAACTTGGCCAACCCATGTCGACCGCAGTCGTTCATATACCAGGGATCCGTTAGGTTGGAAGAATACGGAAAGCAACAGCTGTTCCTCGAGGAAAATTCGGGAGTGGTGCCATAAATTCAAATCAATGCTTTTTACAGAAATGGACGTGAGGAGTTTGGCCAATTAGTGACGACAAAACGAGTTTAGAACTGGTCATTTGGAAGAAGATGATAATGCGGGGTCTGAGTGAATATCAACTTAGACACCGAGGGGTAATCGAACATGCTTCCCCATCCTTCTTCGAATCTAAATCTTCTACGAACTCTAACCACCGTTCATACTCTAAATTTGTTTTGGATCTTGATCATTAAGCTGCATTAATGAGCATTTTCATCAAAGTCTCCGGGTCTTTATTCATGTCTCACTGCGTACAGTCTCCTACATATTAGATTGTTTTTCAAGTGTCTTGAGATCTTTTGCGGTGTTTTACTGTCTTGCGGTCTTTTGGTCTTTTGTGGTCTTTTGCGATCAAACACATCCATTCGCAGCTAGAGTTCCTTGAACTCTGCAATCACTATCAAAAAATGCCTGATGTACTTGGTGCGGGACTTCGGTGGCTCAAAGGGGAGAAAGGGAAATCTTTCAAGGAACCTATAGAAGCTTGCGTAGGGCCAGATGTGATCGAGAGCAGGTACGCAACTTGATTATCTTTGAAATCATTTGCCTCTATTTGAATAATCAAAAATCGATAGACCTATCTTGTTGGCTTCTTACCTACCCATCTATAGCTTCGCTGACAATTCATTTGCAGGAGGCTACATCAAATGGCTCGTAATATGGGATTGGAGAGCGACAGTGAAGAGGAACGTCTCAATAACCGTACCGTCAGATCAGAAAGACACCGCGAGAGAGTCAAACATCGTCCCCCTCCGGATAAATATAGTCCAGAGGGTTCATCTAGAAGTGGTACAATGATTGATTATAGTAAGACGGGCGGATATCAAAGGTCAATATGGCTTAAGGACGGAGACCATTCATCAGACTCAGATCGACTGCCTAGGCATGACTCCCCTCAGGTGAAAAATACAAGGAAGAGTTCTGATTACCCAAATACCAATCTGGGGCCAAGCGGAAAACCATGGGGTCAACAAATTTCTATTTCACAGTCAGCTCCGGATGATTATTCAATGCCCTACGAGAGTTCTGGAAACTTGCATGTGGGAAGTCCTAGAGAAGCTGCTAGACTATCGACATCGGCCAATTCCTCTGAATATGTGCCTCGCGTAGATAGAAGTGCACACGAGAGTAACAATCGGCGAGGACCTCCATATTCTAACCAACGACCGCCGTCACCTCATCTAAAATTTGACCCTGTGCGAGACGCTGCTGCACAAAACGATGTAATCTCTCGCCATCATTCAAACTATGAAGCACCCATCTCATCTCGAGTCATTCCTGTAAGAAAGCCTGTACCACATTCCCATTTGCAGCATCCATCAATAGCAAGAAAGGAAGCCAAAGAATTAAATCCTAAACACCTAGCAGAACTAGCAATTATCAATCGTCGTAATGAGGAAGAGGTTCTTCGACAGCGAAGAGCGAGAAAACTTTTGAACAGCCCTCAGGAAAGTGAGGAATCAGATGAGGATTACTACGAAGATACAGCCAGAGGACGACGTCAATACGAGGAGGATAAGAGACTCTTCAAGAATTACCAAGCACGTCAAGGAGACGGCAAACTACTACCTCTCCCGTTACCTTCGAAACTACCCCCAAGTCTCAACCAACACTCAAGCCCACCACCCAGATCCGCCGCATCACCCCTTGGGTTTCCGATCCCATTTCGACCTGTATCGCTAATGGAGGACGAAGAACCCCACAATTCCTGGCCCGGCCATATAAAGCCTCCTCCAGATCCTCGTACGAGTACAGTCATGCCCCCACCACGACGCACTCCCGTCTCCTCCAGCGCATGGGAAAACAATCCCAGAGCTCCACCCTACCCCGTCACTCCCCACAATTACCATCTCAACGGATATAACAATCAAAACGATGTTCAAAAACGTGCAGTTCATGATGCTTTTCAAGATATGATGCTACATGGACATGAAAGAATCGCAGGTCCTACCCCTCCTACTTTCCGGAGTTCGTATCCGGATGCAATGGAGTTGTCGGGTGTTAGTCCAGAGATACGTAGGGATGGGACGAGAAGACATACAGCTGGTGGGAATGAAGTACTGGGTCAAAGATCACGAACGCCTGAATTTGCAGTAAGAATAGATATGGATATATATCGTCCTGCCACAATTCAGGAAACAGAAGAGGAACGCGCAGGCGGTGGTATATCAGGTGTTGAGCGAATGGAGTTACATGGTGAAAGTAGACGATTGGGGGCAATTGGGGATCGTAGAAGAGAAAGACCAGTTCCGGAAATTCGTGTTCAGCATCCTACTCCAATAGCAAGTCTGCGGGAGTCACATGGTGTGAATATCGGGAGGACGAGGAGGAGTGCGGAGATTGAACGGTTGGTGGCCCCGAGATCGGATCATGGAGAGCGTAGGAAGCATGAAAAGCATAGCAAACACGGGGAACATTAGAAAATTATAGATGGGGGCGCTTTCTCAAAGGAGTAGACGAGAAATACGAGAAATGAGAGAAAAAGAAGTGGTAAAGAAGAGGATTGTGATTGTGGCTGTGAAAAGGTAGGTGGGTTGAAGTTGCGCGTATTTAATTCATGGGCTGGCTTCTCATTGAACACGGGAATAGGATTCGGCGTAGAGAGTATCTCAATAATTTTGCGTTTGGGTGTCGAAAGATAGGTAGCATAGGTAGATACATACTAGGTAGTTCAAGCATCATAATATCAGGGATAAATATGGCTACATGCAAGGTTGAGATGTTGAGATTTTGAGATGTCAAGAATGAATGACATGTAGGAACAAGTTTAGAAAGCGCTGTATATTGAATCATCGATTAAGACTTACTACAAGATGATTCCAAAGTGAAAGGCAAAGAGAGGCCTGTGTTAAAAAAATCGACTAGAGAAGTTAGCAACGATTAAACTCGACCATAAGCTCGGTAATTAGCAACGAGAGTACAGATTCATGGGATGACTTCAAAGTCAAGGAACTGATATTACCACACTTATACCATATTTATTCGTTCCTCGTAGTATTCGAGATTCTTTAGGTGGGGCCAGATAACGAGCATACCACTCAAAGATTGATCCTCAATTGAGGTCCCTAGAGAAAAAACACTTAAGGATATAGGCTGGGCTTCCTTTGAGTTCTGGAAAATATCTTAAAGCGTATCTATGAAATATCACACAGTCTCATTTGAAATATTCGGAGAAGGGGGTCGTAAATGAGGTCTTAGAAAAGAGAGGTTAGAAGTATAGCTTGAAGTCTTCCTTAACAGTCAATCAAATGCTTTAAAGAACTCACAGCCATTCTCTAGTGTAGTATGAGTTGATTAGAGTGGAGGGGAGAGGAGTGGTATTTGAAGAATCAACAGATTTGATGTGAAGCAATCAAATGGGATCTACTATATCGTTATTGTTTCAAGACAGCTTCTATTGCAATTATCTGTTGAGAAAAGATAGTGTATAGTATCTACACAAAGCAAAAGAGAGATTGAGATACATAGAAACTTCGCGGCCAGGCAAAGAGAGAAGATTCAATGTACCGTCAATATATCCTCATCCCCAACAAAACAGAACCCAAGCCGACAGATCACCAATCAACTCATTCATTCCATCAACCCATTCACGCTTAAGAAAACTCATATCCCAATCCCCCCCTCTCCATCAAATACTTTCCTCGCCATCAAAACTCGCGACTCTCTCCTCAACATGCGCATCACCTCCAGCTATGCCCCTTCTACCCCTCTCCAAATCCACCATCCTAATCGCATTCCTATCCACCGATACCTCTCAATCTCGGTTCCCATCTGCATTTCCACGAACACGCAATGATAGACCGCGAAGAGCAGACGCGATTCGATTCAAGGAAGTCTCGATCCAGCAACCGATAATCCACAGGTCGTTTCTGAATTTTGGGAGAAGGACACTGGCTAGGAGCTTGAATTAAAGTGGAAGATTAGCGCGAATACCCGTGGACTTATAGATAGGGAGAATGTAATTTAGTCTGGAATAGAAGGTCGGGAATTGTGAGAATTTCCACTGATTGGTTACGTAGACATGCATACACGTACCAAAATCGCAAGAAGAATAAGAAGGAATCCTAAACTAACTCCCGGGATAGTATTAAAATACGGGTTCATGATGAAGTATACTTGTGTATTATTAATTGATAATCGACGATTCCTTCGCGAAGTTTTCGAATCGTGGATTTCTTCGACATGGTGTGGGTTGTTTACTTTACTTGATCCTGTGCATTTTATCTACATACAATTTATACACTACCTACCTATCCAGGTACCTCAATTTTCCTTCAAAGAAAACAGAATCGCTAGGCCGGGAATTAGGATTCTAAACGATTTCTCCCGCTATTCTTTCCGCTCCTCTAATACCAGCGTTCTTTGAATAGGAACGAACTTTATATTATTATTTCCCTGCGGCTGTTCATGAGGGGTATTATGAGTCACAACTATCAGTTTTAAATATATAATCTATCTATAGCTCTGATTTTGTTTTTTATATGATTAGTCTTTGGTTAAGATGTTTACAATGTTGGATAACTAGTAACTTGTGAAAAATCTCGCTTCGAAAAACCCCCTTCGAAGCGAAAAATTGTGGTTCAGGGATAAACAACTCTGTGCATGGTTTTGATACTGACATTTTACATATTTAGATAACTATTTATTTAAATTTCAATGAATATCATATGAACAATAAAATATGCATCAAAAGCAATACTTGAGTAAACCAAAAAAGTGATAATAACTCACCTTACTATGTTGCTATGTACATCAAAGATCTCAGAACCTTTACACTACACATGAATGAGTAGTAAACAACGAAACCAACTACACATCACACACCTGAATTTCCAATCCATTCTCAAGATCTAAGTATGACTCCGGAACAAGGATACAGAAATTTGCATTAGCCTTACTACACTACGACTGTTATTATAATAAAATACTGAATCATCACAGTAATCACACACACATACATATAAATTCAAGATTTTATATCAAGTTTCGTGAATCTGTAGAGAAGCTGTCTGTATAAAATTATATATCTAGTCATTAATATAGAAAATACCTCTTGTAAACGTAAAGCCGATATCACAATTTCCGGTTTGATCATCATTATTATTATGATTATTACTATTATATTATAAAACACCTGATAGATACTTTCACACATCTCTCGTCTAGTATAAACTTCACGTATAATTTAAATAGCAGAAACATTTCTATTCGAATTGAAGTTGCTAACCAGATAGTCAAGTGATTAAATGCTCAATAATTTCTTCTCTTCTCTTCTCTTCTCATCTTAATAGTATTCTCAAAGTCTGGTAGGTAGGTACTAGAAGAGATATATATATATATATATATATAAGTACAAATATAAATATATCCAACAACACACATACTAAACAAAATAGAGCACTCCTAAGAATACCTAAATGAAATACTCGCGTATTGGTTTCTTGGAAACGCAGCTTCAACTTCTAGATTATAGATTACTCCTTTTAACACATCAATAAAAATCTTCTGTTTATTCATTTCCCCTCGAGAAAAATTCTCATGCTCAAGTTTTGATACTAGAAAACTATTTATTAAATTGTTGAATTAATAAATTGTTAATACAAACAAGAATACACAATCAATTCAATCAATCATATATACTCCACCACCCTTCCAACCACCCTCCCACCCCCCAACAAACTACAAACTACAAACCACACAATACCTACTACCCACTACCTACCTACTACCTACCTAGTCATACACCACACCACACCACAACCACAACCACAACCACAACCACAACCACAACCAAATTATCCATCCTCAAGCCATCCTATCCTATCCTATCCCATAGCAAGATGCTAGAACACAGAACACAGAGTATCTAAACACAGAGTATCTAAACACCAACCAATAATTCAACAAATATATGATTTTAATGAACCTCTCTCTCTTAGTTACGCAGGCTCGAGACAGGTACTGTGAATCTGTGATCTAATTAATTCTCTTCGCTTATGTGTTGTTTTTTTCTCTTTCACGATTTTGGGATCGAGGAAAAATGGGGGTTGGGTGGAAAATCAGGTATAAGTTGTAGGTAAGCTGTGAGGAAGGAAGGAAGGAAGCTGATAGACAAGTAGGCAGAAAGTTCATGCAAACACGATTCATCCGTGATAAGGAAATGCAATCAAAAAAGTATGGAACAGAAAGTATAGTTTTAACAATAATATATTGTATAAGAGAATATCTATAAGTCTAAAAGTTTTCCCAACGCTATCATTACATCCATCCAGATATCCAACTCCATGTCATTAAATTCAACCCATCCCAGTCTATAGTATCCCCTCCAATGCAAGCATATAATCATTCAGTCGCGCATCTCATCACACCTCAAATTTATTGAGGAGCGACAATGACACCTCTGTATCTCATCTTTCCATCCTCGAGTTTCTTCATGGCCTCTTGGATACCCTCCTCAGTCATTGGGAATTGCTCAATGATTGGCTTGATCTCGTGTTGAGCAGCGAAAGCAACCATATCTCTGTGAACTTGTCTGGCAGCGACCAAGGAACCTTGGATCTTGAACTCGTTCATGATGATTGGCATGTATGGGATCTTCATGTCTTCAAAAGAAACAGTCAATGGGTAGACAGTTGCTTGAGGAGCCATGATATCCATGAATTGATGCCAGTTTGGTTGGAAAGAGGTGGTGACGATCAAGTGATCAATTGGGGCGGTAACCTTGAGCTCAGAAACACCCTTGGTAGCGACGAATTCGGTGGCACCGAGGGAAAGAGCCTCCTCCTTCTTGGCATCGGTGGAAGAGAAGACAACGACTTCACATCCCATCTTGGCGGCGAATTGGATGGCCAAGTGACCAAGTCCTCCAATACCGATTATACCAACACGCTCATTTGGCTTGACACCACCGTTGAAAGAACGGAGAGCGTTGTAGACGGTAGCACCTCCGCACATGAGAGGAGCAGCGTACTCGCGGGGAAGGTTATCTGGGAGCTTGTAAAGGTATCCGGCATCCCAGACAGCGTGGGTTCCCATGGATGCTTGGTCCAAGTTGGCTTGTCCGTACATGACACGGTCGGCACAGAGGGTCTCGTGACCAGTAAGACATTGCTTGCAGTCATTGCAAGAGCCGTGTTGGTAGCCCCATCCGACGGAATCACCCTTCTTGATGTTCTTAACAGCAGATCCAATTTCCTATTGAATTATTAGTGATTGTTTTGTAGAATGATATTTTCCGGACCCCGTCTAGAAGGAAGATGGAATATGAACAGTGGCCATTGCGTTATGCGATGGTTCCGCTCAAGATTCTCAAATCCCGCTAGGCGAGTGGAAAAGGCGGGAAGATAAGGAGTACCCACAGCTGCAACACCAGCACCCTCGTGGCCTAGAGCCATATCGGCATGTCTGTAATGCTCATCGGTACCGCAAAGACCCTATAAAATCTGATGTCAGTGGTATGATCGGAGAATATTTCATGCAGCTAAGCAGCTAAAAGACGTGAATGATTTGGTTGCATATGCGAGCAACTTTGGGAATGGTGGATTGTTGCATTTGCAATTGCATTGAGATGGGATGGAATCATGGAGAGGGATCATTTCTTACCGAGTGAGTGATCTTGACCAAGACATCGTTGGGACCAATCTCTCTGGTAGTGGTAGCCTTAACGATCTTTCCCTCCTTGGAACCCTTGAAGACAGTGAAATCAACCATTTTGATAGATGTAGTATTAAATGTAAAAGATTTAAAAGGTGGTATTGATTATTGATTGAGAAGTGAGTATTGAAGATGTGAAGAGTTGATTGTTGATTGAAGTGATGATCGTATTGATGATGTTGATGATGTTGATGATGTTGATGATGTTGATGATGTTGATGATGTTGATGATGTTGATGATGTTGATGATGTTGATGATGTTGTTGTTGATGATAGAGAAGTAGAATATAAAAAACGAGATCAAACCTCATGTATATATACCAAAACCTTCAAGTTGCCATCGACCCCAGACCCAGTGAATATTTCCTAACATCATGCAAATATTCTCAGCAAAACTCCAAACTCCGAAAACCATGACATATTTTCGCATGTTTACGATCCACTCCATAGGGCCAAAGTCAAAATAGAATACTTCGTCAGTAGTCTCCGAAACTACATGTCTTTCCCAGAAGGGAAAGAATCCGGTGATGGTGGGCACGTGATTGGTCTTCCATTTTGTTCTACGCAGCAAAAACTTGATCAATGCCCCGGTTAAGATTTCGATGGTGATCGGATATCGCGAAAAAAGAATTTGATAGCGGCGGGAGCTTAGAAACTCTGGAATCTACCGGAACTCAAAGGGGCATGACGTCGGAGGAAAGATGGAGCACCCTTGTTGGAGCGAGAGAGTCAACGGACTAACTCCGATGAACCAAATGCGGTTGCGAAATCAATCCATGGCCCAAGGGATTTGAACTCAGCAAGAGCACGAAAAGGGTTCACAGTTGGTTCGGAGATATCGATGATTGGATGAATTCCACGCCCAGATAGAGTGGGAGTTTCAAAGACCGGAGTTGTCAATATTGATACCTAGATAGTAGATACGTACAGACTCCAGAGTACTCTCGTACTTGATGCTTATTCAGCCTTATCCTATTACATAGATGGGAGATTCGGACTTTGGCATCTAACTGTTTCTATCTTAGGAACTATTTTCGGCAATAACGACGATTGGCTCAAAGGAGACTTGGCGAGAGCATTTATGCATGGTTCACACATGTGGATTGCCAGATGAAAAACTTAGGAGTTGACTGTCTGAGACTGTTTGGATCAATTTGGTATACAAAGTCCAACGTACCGGAGACTCGTGCATTATTCATAATTATGTGCATGAAGTGCATTGAGAATGTGTGTTGTGATAAGATGATACGTCCTTAACCGAAATATTATCTCCGAATCCCAATTTGTCTCCGGAGCTTCTGGAGTCCAGAACAAGCAAAAAATTTAAGAGCTTCAAGCCTTCAATCCAACCCATCCCAACCCATCCCATCCCGTGCAATTAACCTTTCCCTTTATATCGTACGAGTCTTTTCATCCGTCTTGCCATAGTCTTGTTGAGCAGTCGGTCTCGTTAAATTATTTTCGTCTTACCTCGGCTTCCTTCATTTCAATATTCATCTCTCTCAACGTTTCGTACAAAGTATACAAACAGTACAGTACACGCACGCACGCATGGCATTTTGACCCTGACTCGTATTTACTTTGATCAACTTTGATTTCTTCTATATTAATTATTTTTTCATGTTGTGCTTATTAGACTCAAGACTCGTTTGCCTATTTCTCCTCCGACATATGCACTACTTTCGCCCTCGTCTTCCTCATCCACCTCAACGGCAGCTCCATATGCTTTGTTGACCATATCTTCGTCAACCCTCAGTCCTTCTTCCACCAACAGTTGAATGACCCCCTTTATCCTTGCAATCTCCGTCCTCGTTTCGGGAATAATTTCGTCGTTCTGACTTGAATATGCTGCGTTGCTAACACTTTCCTCGATTCTTGTGATTGAGGTTTCCCCTTCCTTTACTTCGACCGTCTTGCAAATCCAGATAAATCCATTGACTCCTAGAATAACATCTACCTTCCCACCGTTGTGTGCTGTATCGATGGTCCAAACTTGTCGTCTAGCTCGAACCACACCTCCACCTCCACCAGTTCCACTGACAGCCATGAAGACACCGTTCCTCAGCTTTCCATATTTTAAACTTCTCGTATGTAGACTGGCACTTCCATCTTGATATAATTGTTGGACTTCGGCAACTAGTAAATCTCCTTCTGAAAAAAATGTTCGTATTTGAAGCTCATCGGTTTCTGTTCTCTTTCTTTGAATGCCTCCTGGAAGATTGATTGCAGATAATGGTAAATTGGCAAGAACCGGAGCTCCAATATCAACACGCCATCTCTTACTTTGTACTTCTATAATTCGCCCAACAACAAGATCACCGATTTCTGGGGTATAGCGGGCGCGTAATGGTCGAACTGAGAGAAGTTTATTCGTCTTTTGAACTGTACCTGCGACGGTTCCTATAATTTCTGTACTTGCAGGCGCAACATATGTGCCATGACCTCTGAGAAGAATGTTAGCTATGCTTATAGTTGCAAATACCACAGAGAGTAAGAAATGTGTGTACCTCATCCATTGAGGATCATCTGTGATTACTTCACCAGGAGTAACAATATTTTGATGCTTGGCCCGTTTGGACAGTTGCATATCAAGATCCCCTTCTATATCAACACCTCCATCATCAGAATGATCAGACTCATCTTCAGTGTGATAGGGTACCGCAGCAGAAACTGGTGCGATGATAGTAATTGCCATGATGTAGAAACTGTACAAGGCTGTGGATATTGACACCTCCAAACCAATCCAAGCTTCTAACCTTCCAAAGAAACTCGTTTTTCCTTAGCGAGACCCTTTGCAGAGCCAATTTTAGCCAAGGCTGAAAGTCTTGATTTTGAGAAGGCTTGGTCTGCGGATAAATGGTTCCCAGACGGATAACACCAATCAAAAGGATATGGTCCGTGGATTCCAAAGGGAAAACCACTTCTTTTTAATGGAGGATCACCAATTACATCATCACCCAACATATGTCAAAGCCATCCATCCAATACCTGACGCTGTGTGATCACGATTCACACCAAGTAGCAGAAATGTTGCTCTTCAGTGGTAACGATACTCGTAAGTATCAAATACTCCGGAGTCCTCTCTTTCAATCTTTTTATCATACACACACAATTTATAACAACCATTGAAATTCTTCAAAGATCTGTGAATCGTTACTTGATAATCCTCTCATTCGTTCATTGTCGTACTGTTTTGCTTTTTTTGACCTTCCAGCGAATGATACCGGAATCCATGGAAAGTGCATAATCGATTTTCATCAACATGCCGGAGTTCAATGCATTCACAGATGAGGAGATAAAAGAGAGCGAGCATCATAATCATTTAGATGCGCATCATAATGAAGAATCAACTACACAATTACAGAATTTAGAAGAGAGGAGGAATACACAAGACGAATTAAACACAAACACGCCACACCTTCAACCGCCGGAATCATCAACACACCATCTTCAAACACCAAGTGAAAATTCGGCGCCTTCACAAACATTTGGATTAAGAGAACCATTGCCTCCTTTACATACACCACATCGAAGGAGGAAAACGATATTATGGGTTGGACTTATCATCGTAACACTTGACCTGGCTTGTCTGCCGATTACATATTACTATGCCTTGAGTTTTGGAACAAACATAGAGTTACAAGATAGTAAGGCCTATTTTCTTCACCCTGCAAAATGTTCCACCGGTTCTAATCTTATACAATTAGTCTTCGCTATCATAACAAGTGTATATGGAATGATCAGTTTCGCACATTATGGTTTCCGATCCCTGAAACTCTTCCGCGCCAAAACAGCGCCGAGATGGAGACCAGTAGGATGGACTAAATGGGGAATGGTAAGCTGCACAAGTCATTCCATGGGTTCAATTTGTCGCTAACAAATCCTCCCAGCTTGAGTTCCTCCACATCAACTTCATGATCGCTATTACCTTCGTGGAACTCGAACTTATCATAGGAACTATTCCACACCACCCATGGGTGCGCTTATGCGCTATGCCTTCCCCTACGATATGCTATTGGTTTGGGTTCATGTTCATATTTTCTGCGGTCCAAACAATGCGAAAGAAGCCACTGCCATTCAACATGTCGTCGACAGAGAAGGGAAAACTTTGGCGTCCAGCGTTGTTGGCCATCATCGAGGATGCTGGTGGAGTCGAAGGTCAAGGAGGAGTCGTATATCGAAGCAATGTATTAAGACGATACGAAGTCAGCCCCATATTTCGACGTATGATGATGGTTTTAACGTGGTTTTGGGGCATCGGTCTCGTATGCATTGCCATTATATCAACAGTCATCATAATGACTTTACCCGAGAATATTGGTTTCGGAGTCGGATGGGGATTGCCATATTGTTTCGGTTTCGTTTGGGTTTGCATCACCATGGCTTTTGTGAAGATGCAATTGCGAAAAGAGAAAAGACATTGGGAGACGAAGGAGGCCGGCGAAGGACAGGCTGTTGCGGAGTATGCTTGAGCGAGCCATCGAGCGTACATCACTTGTATAGTATTGTTATTGTAGATACCACTGTGCGATTCATAGAACATATATTTTTTTCATCCTTTATCCTCTCAACGCAACTTTTCTTGTGAAATCATCTCATTCCGAGTGAGTAGAATCCCGAAACTCCCAAACGCCATGCCTCATTCATAAGATTCTTTCGTCCCATAGTCAGAGGCACCTAATTTTTCAGTCGCCAGAGTCCCATTCCAACGAGTGTCAATGCAATACCAGTAATACCAGTTTGCCGACTCTTCATACCAAACATAGACTTGCTCTTTAAAATCTTCGCTTCTTGGGCCTTTAATTGGGATTGCCCGGAGAAGTAACTGTAGATTCCGAGGCCGATAAATGCGAAGGATCCTGAGGAAGTGTTAGTTTGTGCTGCGTAGATAGGAGCCTGGCAGGCTCGTAATGTAAAAGGCGAATGGAAATCAAGGGGAAGAGGAGAATTGGGGGAAGAAATGAGGGAGGGAGTGAGGAGGTGCAGTGTAACAGAAGGAAGATATACCAGTGAGTCGACACGGTAAACAGTCATCTTTCCATTGTGCTTCATCCCTTTTTAGCACATCCGTGAGTCTTTCCTGTCGATCGAGACTTTGTGCGGAATTAGGTGCCATTGTGAGTGTTCTTGCTGCTGTTTGTCACACCCGTGTAAACATTATTGAAGCTTGATGACCTTGAGAAATAGAGGCGGCCGCTTTCCCGCTGCGGGCCGCCCCGCAAGTTCGCAAGCATGCATTCATCATTGTTCAAGCTACAAGTTGCAAACCAAATGCAAATGTCTTGATATTATTCTTAAATAGAAATCATGAACGGTGCTATTGAGGCATTGTATATCTATGATGAACACAAGTGAGTAATTCCACCAAATAATCCTATTTGCTTCACTGCTTCGCTCGTTCTCTGCTCCCTCACTCGCTGGCTCCCAGGTTCGCAAACCCCAAAGCTTCCATACTAATCATCTATACAGTCGACCTCTCCTCCAAAACACTTACACTTCGCGCCCCCTCTCCTCTACACAACTTCTTCCTCTCTACCTCGCTCATCCAGCTCCAAGACCAAGTCTAATATATCTCCCAAACACATCTCCGCCCACTCTACTCTTTAATCTCATTCACTCAAATCTATTATTTTGTCTCACATCTTCCTCGGAAATCGAACCTCTCCTCGCCCTCGAATTCTTACACCGTGTTATCGATGTGTTAGAGGAATTTGTGGGTGCGCCGCTATTGGCGCAAAAGATAGAGAGTAGCTATGATGTAGTGGCTCAGTTACTAAATGAGATGTGCGATGCGGGCACGGTGAGCTCGACGGAACCTAATGCGTTGAGGGATATGGTGGAGGTGGAGGGGTGGATTGGGAAGTTCTTGGGGGGCATTAATATTCCTGGGTTCGTAGATATATCTTTAGAGGGTGCAGTTGAAGTTTCGGAACATAACTAAGATATCTACCATAGGAAACCTGGCTTTGCAACTCCCTCTAGTTCAGGCATGTCTGGATTGTCGTCTACGGGATCACTCGCAGCGAATACACCAGCTTTACCGTGGAGAAGAGCAAATGTACGACATACTTCGAATGAATTATATGTGGATCTGGTTGAAACACTTACTGTTACTCTTGCGCCGTCTGGTCGTCCATTGGCTGCGTTTGCCAGTGGAACTATTGCTTTTACGTCAAAAATCTCTGGAGTACCAGACCTACTCTTGAATTTATCCACACCATCCGGTAGACAAAACGTTAGTAGTGTTATGGAATTACCAGTATTCCACCCGTGTGTCAGATTAGCGAGATGGAGAGAAAAGCCAGGGGAGTTGAGCTTTGTACCGCCTGATGGACGATTTGTTCTAGCTGGATATGAAGTTGATTTACTTCCTTCTACGGGCGGAAAATCCGGTACTACTAATGCCTCTCATCTAAAATTACCCGTCAATATTGAAGTCAAAACTAGTCTTGGTCCTACCGGATCAGATTTCGAGGTTCGCTTATTCATTGTCAAGGTTTCTGGCCAGGGCAATTCTTCCATATCTTCAGGTTCGAGCTCGAGAAGCAATAGCAATGCGGCAGGACAACTAAGCAGGGCTGCATCACAGTTTAGCGGTGGTCTCGGTGGAAATTTCGGTGGCAGTACTGGTAACAGCACATCACCCATCATCGAAGATTTAGTAGTCACAGTGCCACTACCAGCTGATGTACGGAATCTTTCGGAGATCAAAGCAAGTAGAGGCGATACAACATATAACCCAGGTGAAAAGAATCTGGAATGGCATATACCAGCTAGAGATGCGGTAGCAGGTGGAGCTACATTACGATGTACAGTTGTGGGACCGTTGTCAACCGAAGAAGAATATGATGGAAATGGTTTCAGACTTGATGGTGAATATGACTACGATACAGAAACATATCAAAGCGCTCCAGAGAAAGCAAAGGTAGAAAATGCTTCAAACAACGAAGGAAAAGATGCAAGGAAAGTAGCGCAGAATAAAATTCTGATGCCTAGCTCCGCAGCAGTTAGTTTCTCGGTTAAAGGGTGGCTGGCCAGTGGTATTAAAGTGGAGAGTTTAACAGTTGACACGAGAAAGAGTAGAGGGATTGGCGAGGGCGTTAAGCCTTACAAGGGGGTTAAGTATTTGACGGTCAGTAGGGGTGGGATTGAGGTTAGGTGTTAAGCATTTTGGTCGCGGACTAGGTGGATACAGGCGTCTTGAGGAGTATGCATAGGTATATTACAGGCATGAAGGCAAAGATACCATTCAATTGAATTGAATCAACCACAACATATCTAGGTGTTGGAAAATACGCGGTTGATCTCAACATCATGCATATCGAAAATTTAATATTCAGGCTAACCAATAACAACTCCCCTCTATCTTCCTTCCTCCCTCCCTTCCTTCCCACCCTCAACAACCTCACCTCACCCCTTCCATTTCTCTCATATCTATCACCTCACCTCCCCTCCCTCTTCCTCCTCATCTCCTCCTCACTCATCGGCACATACCCCTCCAAAATCGTCCGCTCCATATTCCCAATACACCGCACGGGTCGGGGCGGCACCACCACTCCCAGCGCGATATCCCGCGCCAGGAGCTCCGCGCTGCTCATCGGCACGTAGCCTTCGAGGATGGTCCGCTCCATGTTTCCGATGCATTTCGGGGGCTGGGCTTGCAGTTGCTGGGGTACCGCGAGGAGATTGGCGGGCGTGAGGGTTTTTGCGGCGCCGCCCTGGGCCTGCGCCTGCGCTTGCGCTTGCGCTTTGACGCGCTGTTTCTCGAGGGTGAGCGCGAGCCGTTGGGCGGCGAGATGGTTTTGCGCGGCGAGTTTCTCTTTTGCTCTTGCGTCTGCCTGTGCTTTTGCGTCTGCTTTTTTCCGAGCAGCTGCAGCTGCGATTTCGGCTTCTTGAGCGGCGCGTTGGGCTTGGAGTTTTTGTTGTTGGAGTTTGAGTTTGAGTTTGAGGAGATGGGCAGTTTCGGCTTTGCGGAGGGCTTCGGCTTGTGCTTGTGCTTGTGCTTGACGTTGCCGGTGGGCTTCGAGTTCTTGTTGTTTTTGTTGGAGATGGAGAGTTTCTTGACGTTTTCGCTCTTGCTCTATTTTTTCTCGTTCTCGATCTTGACGTGCCTTTTCTTCTCGCGCAAGTTGTGCTTGATGTTCTCTTTCCGCTCGTTCTTTTTGCATGCGTCGAGTGTTTTCTTGCTCTCGAGCTCGAAGTTCTTTTTCGGCTCGTTCTTTTTGGAGAGTCAGATTTCTCTCTTGTTCTTTCTTCTCCCGCGCGAGTCGCTCTTCGGTGGTTTTACGGATGGATTCGCGACGGAGATTTTCTTCTCTTTCTCTTTCTCTTTCTTTTTCTTTTTCCTTTTCCTTTTCGCGCTGGAGTAAGAGGGTTTCTCGTGAGATACGATCGCGTTCTTCTTTCTCTTTTTGAGCTTTCTCGGCTGAGAGAACTTGGGCTTTCCTCTCTTGTTCCTCTTTGGTGCGTTCTTCGCGGGCTCGTTGGGCGATGTGTAGCTTTTTTGCTTCGGCGAGATTGCGTTCTTCGAATTCTCTTGCGAGGATTTGGGCTTCTTTTTCTTTTGCTGTGGGAGATAGGGTTTTAGGAGGGAGCGAGGGTGATGATTTAGCTAGGGGTGTAGTTTTACGAGGTTCTCCCTCCCTCGTATCTCTATCTCGCTCGGTTCTTGGTCTGTCTTCTGGCGCAGGAAATTTAGCATCAACTCGAGCTTTCCTCTCCCCATCACCTCTATCTCTATTTCTCTTCTCCTCATAATCATCTTCCCCCACACTACTACGTCGTCTCCTTCGTCTCCTCCTATACTCCTCATCCTCACCCTTTCTACCATCACCAACATCCCTTCTCTCTTCCCTCCTCCCCTTCTCCTCTGCATCTCCATCTCCATCTCCAACCCCATTCCCCGCCACACATTTCCCCAACGCCATAATTCCCCTCCCAATACTCTTTCGACTCTTACTGAAAAGTCCTTGTTTTTCTTCTTTCTCGGTTTTATCACTCTTTCCCCTATCACCTCTCTCGTTCTTCCTATCTCCCCGCTCGGAATCATCGTATCGGGGAGTGGACCTCCTTTCTTGACGTCGTTTTTCATGATGTGCGCGGTGGCGAGCAGCTCTTTCTTCTTCGGTTTCGGAGGCTCGATGAGGGGGTTTGGGTTTGGGTTTGGGTCGGGGGTCTTGGAGCGGTGGTGAGGATGGCATCTTGTGATGTAGGGGAGGGTGTAAGAAATCCAGGGGGGTGTGAAGGTGAAGAAATTTAATATTATTTCTTTGGTGAGGAATGGGATAGTGGATAGTGATGGAGATATATTGGAAGAAGACACGACGTGAAATTGATAGGAGTATTTGTGGGAAAATATCTAAGAAGAGAGGAATGTATGGTGCTTTATGATACTACTATGTTTTACATGTACATGTAGAAGCTGAGATAGATGTTGAACAAGATGAAGATGAAGAGAGAAAATGTTCTCGCATGGGTAGAACTTATATATATGTATTGGAAATAATGTGATTTGATATAATGTGATATGATGTGGCATTCATCCAGATGAATGGAAACGAAGATTTGTGAATAGGGTAAGGTGAGGGTGAGAATGAGGATGAGAGATAAAGTAGATGAGGGATCAGTGATTTGCGTTATTCATCTGAATGATTCTATGCTGTATATTCATTACTTGTGAATCTATAGGTTTGATTAGAAAGTATCTATTCATGTGAAGGAGGGTATAGTGTAGCCCTATACTCTTGCAATCATGAGTAGAATACTACTTAATCATACTGTAAGTTATGATAAAGTTATTGAGTATTGATATGCTTGCAATTCACATTCGTGGAATACCAAACGAACAATGATTGAAAATGAATCTATTGCGCTCTGTTCTATTCACTCCCCGGGGTATTCTTGATATCTGACAGATAATCTATCTTCTAAACAGCTCCTACTATTGCCGTTTCCTTATTGGTTCAACTTATGTGTATCTTGCGACATGTACAACGCCGACGTTCACGAGCTTTTCTCCTCCCTAGCCTCATCCTATTCATCACGAGATAATCCATCAAACTCCATATATGTAGGTAAGATCCCCGTTTCAACCCATCTCGCTTGTACATATAATAGATACCTACAACCTTAATTTCTCAACTCATCCAAGCACCATTTTTCTCCAACTCAACCACTCCCCTGGCAAGTACTTCGATATTACCCCTCGCACCATTCTCCCCATTTTGGCACCTTCTCAACACTTCCCGTACAGATCGCCATTCTCCCTGGCTCATTTCCCATCCTTGAAGTTCTATAAGTTGCCTTACTGTCCGATAGCCTAGGAAATCTTCTGGTAGCATCTCGTGTGCAAGCGAAGGAACTGCGATTGCGCCTTTGAGGGAAGATCCTGCTGGAAGGGGAGAGTGAGAAGAGTAGTATGATTGGTTTGAGGTAGTCGACTTTGTTGCGAGAGGATTTCGTGATGTTCTTTTGGGACTCTCATTGAAGGTGAGAGGGGGTGTAGGCTCTGGTGTTGGAAGAGAAGATGCAGCTAGAGGATCGGAAATAGATGTTGATCGAAGAGGATAGTAGTCGTAAAAAGACGGATTGCGAGGGAGTTGGGATTGTTTTTGTTTTTCTTTTCTGTTAGGCGAAGGAGGACGAGAAGGGGAAGGGATATGGTAATAATTTGAGCGAATAGGACGAGTTGGTGGCGGTGGTGGCGGTGGTGGGGGATACCTTCCAGGTGCTTCTGGTTGAGGTTTATTCTTTAGATTCGACTTGGAAAAAGGATGATACTGCAGATAATCTGCTTTGGTCGATGGTAATGGAAATGTTGATTCATCCCATTGAATATTTGAAGGTTGACCGCCATACGGAAAGATTGTTACTGATGGTGATTCAACCCTGATATGAGGTGGATGCGGCGGTAGTGATGGAAGAGGAGAATTTAATGGATGGAGTTCTGATGGTGAGGATGATCTTTTAGACCGCGCAGCTCGGAAGTAATCGTAGTCCATCGAGTTAGAATTCGTAGGTTGTAGGGTGTATGAAGGGCTGTGGGATGGTGTCTGCGAAGGAGGATATTTCCGAGGAGGTGGGTATGTGTTTGAAAAGTATGAATTCAGTGTTTGGAGGACAGATGGTGATTGAAATGGCTGGGGTGACGGTGATGGTGTTGAGAAGTACGAATTCAATGATTGGAGAATAGATGATGGTGTGGACCTTAAAAAGTAAGGAACTGATGGCTGATGCGGTGAAGTTGATGTTGGAGTTGATTCGAGTATTGGCCCGGAACCCGAATCTGAACGTCGAGACAAAAGGTACCTGTGAATGAATAAGCTTGATATTGATGGTGAACCCGAAGGTAATGGCGCATATGATGCTAGAGGATCTTTGAATGAAGGGTTTTGTCGAATGGGTGATTTTGGTTTGAATGAAGGTATCTCCTGAGAGTTAGGAGGAAACAATGGTTGATATGGAACCGGAGGCAGAGTTGTTGTTACGTGAGCAGGATTTAACGATCCAAGAAACGGCGATGAAGATAAAGATCCAGATGTTGGCCCAGTTCCCGGAGGTCGAACATACACGGTGTTTCGTACTGCAGGAAAAGAATGGGACGTCAGTGAATGTCCATTTTGGATTCTCGGAGTAAAACGTACTGCAGTTGAAGAGGAATCGTATTCCATTCTGCGGTGAGGAGTTCTATCCGAATGTCTCAATAGGTTATAATTTCTTTGAAGATCTCTTCTAGAAGCGTCTCGGGGCGTAATAGGATATGAAAAAGCATCATAAGAAGCACTAATCGGTATTTCTGGCTTTCGTGCGGAATTACTGTGAAAGTTTGGGGATTTGAAAGGCGTTTTTGGCATCATGGGTCCTGGCAGTTCTCCAAGAGATTGCCTTCGTTGAAGACCTCTTAATGGACTATCTCGGACCAAGCTATCGTGGAACTCCAGAGGTCTATCTGTTGGTTCTAATACCCCTGACATGACATAATGTTCTGGACTTGGATTTTGTGAAGGCAATGACTGGGGCGAAGATGTTGGCAGGTTGGGAATAGCATCATCTTGCTCAGCAAATCTAACTGACTTTTGCTTTTTCGAAGCTGGAGCACGCCAAAGTACTCGATCCTCAAATACATTTTCCTCTGCTAAGTCCAATGAACTTCTACCGCGCTTGAACTGCTTGGTCTTCTGCTCATCTTCCTGTCTGATCCTTGAGCTTGAATAAATTGCATGGCCCGAGAAGCCAGGCGAGTTAGCATTCTGTTCCCACACAACAGCATTTACCGTTGCTTCATCCCCAATGCGACAGCTTTCCAATGTCTCATTATCTGCCAACTCTCTACCTCCGTAAGATAATGCGCAGTCATAGCCAAAATGAGGTATGACTCCTCTCTTCAATAGTGAAGCAATGAATCTTGATTTGACAAGTAGTATGCGATAATTTGGACCGAGGTTTCGTAGCGAATGCACACCAGTGCCGGTCATTACATAGAGTATTCTACATGGCCTATAAGTTTCGTTGACGAAGGCCGAGGCATCTTCATCGTCATCCGAAAGTACTGTACTCTGGGATGCGTTATATGCCATATTTTCGAGTTTATGATCAATTCTGAAGAACCAAGCCAAAAGAGTGTCATCTAGTAGATATTGGAAGAAACTTTTCGTGGTAAATTTGAGATAGTAATACCCTTTGTTTGATAAGAGTTCTAAATCAGGAAGTTTGGGAATGCTTTGTATGTACTTAGCTTGGAACACCTCTTTGTATCTCAGAGGCTCCCAAGCTTCAACATTGTTTGATGATAGGTATTTATATCCGCCAATCAAGTTTTATGAAGTAGAAAAGACACTGGCTGAGACCAAATTGGTGTTCTCAAACTTTGAAGCTATTTTTGAGCAAGTTGTGAATTAAGGGTGGTTGTGAGGTGATCATGAAAAAGAAATCAGCAGCCCATTGATTATTGGTCCAATCGTCTAGACAACAATGAACTCCAAGTCAAAAGAGGGTTGATTATTGACAAGTAGAAACCAAATAATGAGGCCATGAGGAGATCGAAAGTTTTGAATTCTATATAGATTCACTATTCGACTTTTGGGAACAGTCTACTAGAACTAGAATCTTACGTTGTTCATTTATGGCCAGAGTTTTGATTCGTGTTTCCATCCAATATAAGTGCAGGGAGAACTTAGAAATCCTCCCATATTGCACTTATACTGTATACAGAGGTATGAAGAAGATTAGAATTGACAATAGATGACTAAAAGCAAAGTGAAAGCTCAAGCACATTAATGATTCAATCGATATTTGTTTGATATAGGAGAGCCAAGCATGGAACAGTATGATTGATGGTGGTTAGCTTGAGTATCAAAGCATTGCAGTATACTTGGCTATAATTAATTATTATTAGTAATCCTTTCCAAACGCATGAAGTGGAATGAACAGAATGGTACTGCTAGGGAGGTACCTGCCTACTTTGTATATCAATCTCAAACGAACAATCTCCAAGAAAGGCATACAATAATAAACTTGATTAGTACCCTCGCACCTCTGTCATAAACTTCACACCCCTTTTTCAGCAGGTAAAAGGTCTCAGGTATAGAATAAAAGAACCTATTTCCAAAACAGTTGATAGGTTCAAATGATAATTCACAACAGTTCATGAAGCTTGGACAAGAGGAACAGCTGTATTAGAAAGTTGTCAAACAGGGAATAATAAGTCTGGAGTAATAAGTGTCACATGCTCCGAGGACACCCGGAATTCACTAATAATCCCTTCACTCGAGATCAACAAAGTATCACACTTTCTTCCCCGCACATAACCAAATCATTTCCCTTGAACTTACAACTGAACTCAATAATGTTCTGATTCCAAAGTGGAGAATCTCGAAAAGCTCTTCATACATCAACATTAACGATGGCTGAAAAACGTCGTCGCCGCGAGCATCAAAACATCGCAAGTGGAGGAGGTTCATCATCAAGAGGAACACAACAATCAAATTCGTCACCAAGTTTCCTCAATTCTACTGACACTCCTGGCGCACCACAAATATACCTTGATGCTTCGTCATCATCACACCGACCACTTGGTACTCGTTCTCCTCATGCGTCCTTAGCAATCTCGAGCAAAGTCAATGCTCCTGATGGTCCTGCCACTGGACGCGTTGGAAACAAACCAATCGTGTACGTACCAAAACTGTCGCAAGATGAAGGAAGAAAGGTCAAGGATCATAAGCTGGGAACCACTTCCAAGTCAGCCAGAGGAAGCTCGCCCACCCCTATACTTGACAACAAACCTCAAGATACAGGACCGCTACATAATCTCAGGTATTTAAAGTGGTATATGAGACCTCAATCCAATGCCGAAAAACTTGAGCCTCGTGAGAGACAAGCTCAACAACATCTCCGAGGTCGTCTCAATAGAGGTGCGCTTTGTATAAACACTCACTTTCCTAAAGAAGATGAGGAAAGCTACAGCAAAAGCACCCAAGAAAGAATCGACTCTTCCAAGCCAAGCAGATTCAAAGAACCCTCTTCTAGGAATAAGATTCAGGATTCGACCGTAAAATCCGCTCCGAAAACCAAGCCGACTTCGACTACAAAATTAAGTTCGACTACGATAACCACTTCTAAAAATAAGCATCAAGATTCGACCACAAAGCCTGCTGTGATAACAGAGCCGAGTTCAACTGCGAAGCCCGCTGGAAATTTCAAGCCTGACGCTCCGCAAAAATCTCAGAATTTACCTTTGAAGCAGAACAATCAAAGGTCAGAAAAGTCTCATCGTCAAACACAGAAGCCAATAAAGGTTGATACATTGTCAGAGAAGCTCAAAAATAATGCTTCAATTCCTAGTTCCGAGACATCACTTGCTACAAAGTATTATCGAGAATTATATCTACCTTCATTTGGACAAATTTCATGCGTTAACAAAATGAAAGAACCTGTTGGACCGGCATTGGAATCATTAGCCCCAAAGATGGGATCTTCTCTTTCAGCTCCAAAGGATTTGTCGTCAACACCGACATCCGCTCCTGCTATGGCAGAAGCAAAAGGTGGATCTGTCCTTGCGGCAAGCTATCCGTCTGTGTCTGGCCCCAAAGAAAATACATCATTCCAAACTCCTGGTGCTGTACCGTATAATTTGACTCCATCGCCTCCTGACAGTGGACAAGAAAGTGATTACCGTGGGCCATATGGTGGACGTTCAACTTCTCCGTCTGACAATGGCTTCAATATTGTTTCTGAGTCTCCCACGGCTCTGGAACTTGGACCGACTTCAGTTCCGGCCAATGAAAAGACCACAATCCAGGAAACTAAAGCGGCGTCTCCAGTTGCCGAAAAACACAGTCCCGACAGGCGAAATTCGATCGATACAAAGATGCAGGACACGGGAAGTGTAGTACAGTCTCCGAAGGTTGTCAACCACGCGACTCCTGTGAATTTTGAAACTGAGAGACCAGGATCGCACATTCGGCCCGACGAAGAGATGCAATATTTGATTGATTTGACAGAACCAAACGTGATCACCGGTGCAGCTTCTCCGGCTTCCAAACACCCCACCGCACACACTCAATCTGACGAAGAAATACGGGACGCAATTGATTTGACTGGAGAGGAAGAAATGCGGGATGCAATTGATTTGACTGGAGAGGATGAACGGGTACAGAAATCAATTGAGCAGGACGAAGATATGCCGGATTTAACGGAAGATGCGCAGAGCAACACGGAGTACCGCCCAGGAAGAGCAAATATTATGAGCTCTTCAATCTTCAGACCTGCCGGTTTCGCGGAATCGGAGGTAGGATCTGAGCCAGAGCCAGAAGCTGAAACTGAGGTTGTGCAGCGTAAATTCGAAGAGCAGGTTACAATCGATTTAACTCTGTCTCGATCACCCACACCCAAGCTCGACGATTTGCCACGGCATATTAATCAAATCAGTGCTGACCTTGCCTCCTCCAGAATCAATCAAGTCGTCGCAGGAAGAGACCGGGTTTCTGCACATGAAAATCATAACCAAAATAGTGATGAGCGCGCTACTTCTCCAGACCTTGTAGGACTTATGCCAAACGACAAGGCTCAAATTGATAATTCCATCAAAGACGAATTCTTTGAAAATCAAAATGAATTGCAAGTTGTTGCATCCCTGGGGGACAATGGACAAAGCAGCAAACCTGCAAACGACGGACTTCCAAGAAAAAGCTCCGGCCGTAACCAGAGAATTCCTATACAATCAACATCATCTGCCAAGCATGTTGGTGTTGTCCAACCCACTGAGACTGATGACTCCATTGAGGCTAGTGCATCTGCTCAGGGCGACGCAATGGAAATTGATGAAAGTACTGAGATTGGCACACCCGTCGAGGCTGCTACACCTGGTGAAGCTCAAAAGAAACGTAAAGGTAAACGCGGAGGAAAAGGAAAAGGCAAAGGTAAAGGTGTTGCCAAGAGTGCCGGTGATCAAAATACTATGCACTTCGACGATCGACGACTCTCTGATCTCGCTCAAATTCCTAGCGATTCTGAGCAGGACCCTTTCAAAGACCAAAGTGATAGGATCATGAGTGAGGCAGAAGTCAAACAAGCAATTCTGGACGCCTTAACCGTTCCGGTCTTTCCAAAGGCTCCACCAAAATCTATGGTCACTGACGAGAAAGCTTATAAATTGGCCGAGGAAGGAGAATACTTTACTTTGTCGCATGCACTATTCAGTGTGGTTCCCAAGGAAGTGTATGACCGAGTTTGGAAGGATGAATACGAACGTCCACAAATCAGCTTGTCGAGCAAGACACCTAAATGGATTCGTCCTCTCGATCCTACAATTAAACACCCAGCCAAGCCGGAAACTGATTCTGCTGAGTTGATCAAGGTTTTATGCGAAATTGAGAAGTTATTGATTTCTGTTTGGATTGGAGTTGAGGCGATTGTTGTGGTATTGTATTCTGAGCTTGATGGTGAGTAACCCTTGCCTCTGTGAACAACTTCTTGCTAATAATCGCAGACAAATTTACCTCACGCGACCTCGAGGAGTATTTTCGTGTCTACCAAGTGCAGATCTACGATGGATGGACCGATGTTCATGCATATCTCGTCACATTGGCTGATTGGAAGGATCGATATTTTGCAATTACCAATATCAAGAAGCGAGCTTCTCGTCCCAACGCCGATCCATACGCTCGTCTTTTCACAATCAAGAACCCATCTGATCTACTCTTCTACGGAACCATGGAATATCTCAAAGCTATGCAAGCTGCAATGAAAGCTGCTCAAGACGCAAATGATTGTGTGATGATGAAAGGCCCCAAATGGAAGCATATGATCAAAATGGACAAAGCTGTTATGGGCAAGGAATTTAGCAAGTGCCTTGACGGATTGAGAATGTTTAATTCATATGTCAGAAAGAGAGACTGGGATGTTCCGGGTGCGCATGAAGATGACGCACTTCCTCCTATAATCGCTTCGAAGCTAGCTACCAAGAATGAGTCCATGCAAGTCTCGTCTAAGGGGAAGGAAGTTGCTGTTGAAGATGTTTTCCAAGAGAAGTAGGACCTCCTTCTCCCGTAAGCATGGAAGATTAGACTGACATTGAATA